ATAGTTCTTCTCGAAACATTTTGAGGTTATTCGTTGCGTTTCGTTCTTCCTAATCTGTTGTGTTGTTTTCTTTGATAAATTTCATTTCACTTCCTTGTCCTATCACGCTATTTATCGGCGCACTCTACACCACCTTACGCGATTTTGATTTGTTTGCTTCACAAACACAATAATGCCAACCTTGGACTGAAAGTATCGGAAGAATTCGACACCCAAGCGATTGTACGACTGGTTCAGCTATATAATGTTCTAATTGTTATATAATACTTACTACTTACCTTGAATCAATTCAAAAATTATGTAGATGGGCTGCTCTTGCAAGCAGACGCCGTAAAAGTGCACTATATTTGGATGAGAGAGATCTCTCATGAGCCGTGCTTCTCTTACCATTTCCTTCACCTGTTGTCTGCAAGTATCCGAACGACCTTTCATCTGGAAAAGCAGGTGAATTTTGATTGTCCCATTTTCTGTCATGGAGATGATCTTACCATTTTAACAGCGACGTCAACGACGGAACCGTCCTTCTTCGTTAATTTTCCCTGCCTCACTTCACCGAATGCGCCCGTGCTGAGCAGCTTACCAACTTGAACGGATTGTGGTGTAAATTCCCATTTTGCTAGCCGAATAGCTTTTTTGAACAAGACCTCTGTCTAAACGAATATCACATTTATTCGTCGATTTCAACACCGCATACAAATCATCTATTTGTTATGTGTTTGAAAGTAACACTGGTTTTCAAGTTTACCATCGTTGCTTGACCAACAGAGCCTCCAGGCAGAAAATCCATTTTGACCTTTTGCAAATGAATCAAATTGAGATTGCGGAAATGAGGTAAGTAGATTGAGCCAAGAGATCAAATTATTTCTTGATGAATCTCCGATGTTGCAGTAGCACCAGCGGTATTGATCAAATTATGCTTCTCTCCGCCGTGGTACTTTATGAAGAACTGTATTTGTGATAATGAAAGGCTTCCGAATTCAATAGGAAAAGGTGGGTTTTCGCTAATGAGTAATTGTTTCTTGCGCAAATAGCGCACCCAGGGGAGCGATATTTGATGCTAGCGAAAGAAAACTTGCCAGAAAACACTGTATGTCAACACTTGCAAAGTCAGCTGAACCATACAAAAAACAGCAGTTCACAAAAATAGCATGTCAAAGGCTACATTCCAGCTTCTTAACGGAAGCCGGGAGCAAGTTCTAGGCCATTTATTCAGACTTTTCTTGGTTTTTTGTTTCTCACGTGTCGTAATTGTTTGTTTTCCTTTTAGTGGCCTGGAGGTTCAAGCAAGATTAGAAGTCCTGATATCTCTTTTTCGTTGCAGCTGCTCGAGCAATTGCGCCACTCTTGCTACAACAAACAAACCTAAACCTTTTGTTTTATTAACCACCTGAAGCTTCATCACATGTGATAGGTCTAGACATGCACACTTCCGCTTACACCAGGGCTAGTAATCACAGCAGCAAGCCCCTTTTTCAGACAGTAGGCCCTATCCTTTTCTCAGGCAAGAAATAATTCTTGCCGCCTGGTTGAAAGTCGAATTAAATCGATCTAGGCTGTTGCCAGATTCCGGACTTCTAGAACTAACAGGTCAGTCTAGGACGGGAATAGGAACTCCGGGTAAAATAACAATTGTCCATCCTAGAGTCTCTCCTCCAGCCTAAGGCTTGATATTGTTGATAGCAAGAAAAGAGATGCTTGACGGGGGTTTGAATGCGTTACCGCCTTCTTATCCATATGTCTCGCCAAGATTATTTTCCAGGAGATATGAATTTGAGAACTTCTAGATGTTTTCCTCATCGCAGGTATCCAAAAGGTTGTGCAATTAATGACAAGAATCTAACATCAATTGGCAACCGATGAGCTACAGTAACGGAGGCGCCGTCACATGACATGCGAGCTCTCTGCGACAGTGAGTATTTCGCTCTGAGCTCGACGATGTTGCCGCTTCGGTTTTGTAATGAACAACACTTAATGTCTTCTATTATGTCAAAATTGGCTGTTCGTGAACCTGGTACAACTAGGAAAACTTTTGGCCACATCGCGCACGATTCGAAAACCGTTAGTGACAGCTCTTACGCAGTTGTTCTTGAGTATATCTCAATGTTCCTTACAGAATGGTTCAGTTGTACAGCAGTATTGTTAGTGTTTATCCTAACGAATATAAGCAGTCAAATCCAAGTTTACACTGGCTTTTTCATACTTCTGCTTTTTGCTCGCAGCTTATAGACCTGCCAAGGAAAAGTTCCTTGAATGAATATAAGTACGTAATTTAGGGGTTCCACGTCAATACATTGCATGCACCTGAATACATTGCACACCTCAGGAGTCAGGGGAGTCAGCGGAAGCACAAACTGCTCACATCTATCCACAGAATTCCTTCCCTCTCTAAGGCGTAGCCCAAATGCTGTAGGTGGCTCCCTAACTTGACTGTCCCACCGTGAATATGCAATAGAATAGAAAAGAACAATTAAGAATGTGTCAGCCGATGTCAAATTAACCACTAGGAAAAGAAGGAGCTCAATCAGAGTCAACCCTGCGTTGCGCAGTTCTCAACGGCCACGTTGCGCAGTTTCGCCCGATTAGACACGTTCTCTCGCGCGAACATTCACACTCGCATGCTCGAGCCGTCTGCGTCTCCGCCCATACAGCGTGCGTTGAGGATCTCTCAACGTGCCGTTGCGAACTGCGCAACGCAGGGTTGACTCTGAGCTCAATCCAGTCAACGAATTTAGTGCGAAGTATGTGGTCGCCGTTGAAAGAAATAGTTCAAAGGCAAGGGGTCGGGTTCAGGAGGATGGTGGACATAGCCCCTCTCCTCACATGGAGGGAGGGGCTAAGTACGCTATTGCGGTGGCAGCGCCACTTTCTCAATGCGTCACTAAGACGTTGGAAAGTTTAGAAACTAGATCACAGTACGCTCACAAGGATCAGTGCCCACCCAAAAATGTATTTTATCTGTGTTGTAGTGTTAAAACGCTATGTCGCAGTCGCATAACTACGTGACCTTCTTCTTACTCACTCTAGAGACTGCTCTCACATTCGAGCGTGCTTCAGTTTAGTATGTGAGTAAATATTGCGTGTCGTCGTTCTAAATCATGAAAGCAATAAGGAGCTCCAAACTAGTGAAGCTAACAGCGGTCTACTAATTCGCCCTATAGTTGGAGCGACTTTAGTTAGGGTGGTAATGGAAGCTTCCAGTCGGTATCAATAATAATGAACCTTTTCAAGGCAGATGTAAGACTTTGCGACACCTAGGCCGATGTCATAGTTTGTGAATCGAGTGATTCGCTAGCGAATCGCTGGATCCGAGCGTTGCGCCAGCGAATCGAACGATGCAGCGAGTCGAACTAGGTACCAGCGACTCAATAGTGGCGGGACCCAACGTTCAAAGGAAGCCCGCCACTTTCAAACAGTGTCCACTGTCACGTGACACTGTTTGAAAGTGGCGGGCTTTGAACGTTGGGTCCCGCCACTATTGAGTCGCTGGTACCTAGTTCGACTCGCTGGTGCAAACTATGACATCGGCCATATTCTGCATGAACCACACTGCCCGCACTTTCTAAGCAGTCGCACGCGTAGCAACGCGAGCCAGAAATCAATATAATAGTTAAAAAATGATGAAATGACTCGTTTGCACATTGACTCTCGCCACTTCCTCAAGTGGGCACTCACAAGGGCATGAGAAAGCGAGAACGTTCTATTCTAGGGCACACCTCCGCAACCCTTTGCACTCCTCGTAAGGGAGGGAATCCTAACGGCTGGCGCTGCACCTTGCGGCTGACTTGCTTTCCGGCCATACTTCACATCTCCAGCGATGGTGCTCCGAACAGCCGTTTTCTCATCGTGAGATGCATAGATGAGACGACAAGCTTGTGGAAATCAAGTCAATTACATGTGACATCGCACGCCCGTGCTCCAATGTGGGCTACCGTGGAACCAATTCAACATATGGAGAAGTCGTTTTGCTAATCACGTCCTCTTCGCAGGCTCCAACCAATTGCTTTACTAAATACAGTGAGTTTATGTGAAACCCGGGTTCGGGGGGGGGAGCACGCGATGGCGCCTTCGCCACGCCGCGACGCGGCGCTCTGCTCGTCTGTACTCTCTGGGCGCCAACTTCATTTGAAACCACCGCGAGGTATGGTAGCTGCTCCTAAGACTTAGCCTTTGAGGAAAACTATAGATGTATGAACAGCTTTCAAATCCCTCAGGCAATTGTAGGACTCGCCAGAAATGTCGGTATGGACGTGGACGATATCTTGGGAAAGAGAGGAACTTCGGGATAGGTGTGTAAGCAGCTTCACATTCCCCGGATCTCCTCCATTCTCTCAGGCTTAGTTCAAAGGCTGTGATGAAGTCATAATCCCGCCACCTCTGGCGTTGTGAAATCCTAGAACCACATTCGGACCCGTACCAGGGTGTGTCAAATGGCTAAAAACTTGTTGAGTCTTCGAGGATTCACTTTCATGTCTAAGCGTTGATGAGAAAAGCGATCATCAATGATAGACTCGAGTTGCCGGCTCCCGGGAGGGGTAATTGTTGAATCATTGAGCAATGATTATACATGTCACACTAGTCAGAAGGACCAATTACAGTAGGCAGGTAGAGGAACATGCATTTGTCGCCGGAGAATTACAATGTGTGGCGGCCGCATTGGTGGCGCAAGGACTGGTAGATTGGAGGGATTCGAATGGGATAGATGGCTTGGTGTTGCGTGGAAGTAACTGATGCATCACTCGATGCAAGCCTCTGCGCACCGTTATGCTATCATCTGGAAGTATGCTCGACCGGGTGGGTGGGTGGTGTGGTCGTAGGCCGACGGACATGTGGGAGGATCAATCAACTTGTACAAACCTTGGGGAGCACAACACGAAACAATAAGCGCACTCTGCACAACTTTGTGCTCTTCACAGGAGACACACAGCGCAGTCGAATACTTCTGGGCGTCATCCAAAGCTTTAAGTTTGTATTTCACGTCACGGACTGAAGGGCGAGCTGTGGGACGATCACTTCTACGAAGTCTTTTGGAAGTGGTAGTTCAACACCGAAGATCTCCTTTACGAGCTCTTCAAACTAATTGCGGCAAAGTATCGAATTTCTTAAAGATATCGTAACCTTTGAATGGTAATCGGTGTACAATAAAATTTGTTGCATGCGACTCTTATATTTTCGTTATATCTGGTCGTTCCGTTTTATATAGTCTACTATCCGTCCCCTTGCGGTCATTTCAAATACAGTGGCTCTGCCGTTGGCGCCGAGAGGGCACAGACGAGCAGAGCGCAGCGACGCCGCGTGGCGAAGGCGCCATCGCGTGTCCCTGCCACCCGAGGGTTTCATTTCATATTTTTACGCTCATTTTTTATTACTTTTTGATACATGTTATTCTATCATTCCGATATGAGGTAACATTGTCAGATGACATAACATGTTTCGGTTTATGAACTGGATTTGAAAGAAAACCGGTGGAAGTATACATCAGTCTGCATCGCTAGCAACAAACTACTACTAACAGAACGAAACGAAGGGATGTGGTTTCGACGTTCCGAACTATCATTGCAATCTTGACGTCGCCTTGGAGTGCGGCACCTTTTCCAGTTCTGAACATGTGCGAGCCCAAACCAAATATGATACCTGTGCCGCACACGCTGTACAGTTCGGCCATGGAGATATATATTCGCGCATATTCAGTATCATTTGGTTGGGCACGCCTTTTCAGAATTTAAAAGGTGCAGTACTCTGAGACGAGTTCAAATTGCAAATAGGCGTACGATACCACATTCTTTCGCGTCGTTCTGTTCTCTTCATTTTCCCACACAACGCAAGCGGAGGTGGTAGTAGTTTGCTGCTAGCGATGTAGGTTGATGTATGTTTTCGTACCAACCACGACCGCTGCGTCTACATTGCTATCTGACCGTTGAAACGATCACTGGCTTTCGCAATAAATCTGTTGGTGAAACCTTTGAAGTGGCTAAAATTTCTTAAAGAAATATTTTTTTCAAAAATATTCCATCTGTCAATGAGACAAGGCTCTTCTCTATTGCATTTTAATGTCATGATGATGACAACTCGCTATTCTTCATACAAACCTGGTTCACAACAAGAGGTGTTTCTGAGTGATGTGTTAAAAGTTCTTCTATAGAGTCAAATTTTTCACGTGAATCGAAAAAATACTTTCTTGATTTATTAGACATCGCGCTTTGGACGACGACGTTACGAGTCTGGAATGTGTAGTTTGTATATTTCAACAGACAACGTCACCTACACCCCACAGAGTACTTATGACTGTACCGCTTCAAGTTTGCCATTTAGATCGGCTGTTTTGACTTTGCCGTCCGGATCGTATAAAACAGACACTATGATTTCCCTAGGTTGTGTCTTGTCAGCCTAGAACAAGACAAGAGACGTCAACGAAAACTGCAGGAAGTACAGTGAGTTGGCAAAATTGCCCAACCTCATTACATCGTACGAGGAAATCTCCGTGGTTTTGAAGAAGTGACGGTAAGTCTTCTCTTGAAAGAAATCCATGAAAAAACTTTTGGCTGGATAGCCAGGGGTCTATCTGCAATTTGACTTTGAATGTTACGATGCCAAAGCATTGACGCCGAAAGGAACCTTGTTGATGTCGGCTGCATCGGGTTCTGCCATGGTGTGAAAAATGAGAACCACCCATGATTCTCCTTCATAAATACTCTAGCTTATCACATCATAGCACTCCAGAGTTGGCGATGGTACATACGATTAGCCGATTGGGCGATGATTCAAGAAGAAAACATAGCTGTCGATGAGGCGCTCAGGCGAATAGACGATTAGGCGATTGGGCGCGTAGACGACTGAGTGAGCAGGCGATTGAGGGTATATGCGGTAGGAAGAGGATACGCAACGAGTTGTTTGTTACGCTCGTTGAGTGATCGATCAGACGCCTACTCTCGACTTCTCGCCTGCTCGCCTAATCACCTAATCGCAATTATAACTCTGAACCCTACTGTAGCTACCCTCACTGTCTGGAGAAGCTAAAATGCGTTCTTAAGTCATAATGATTTCCAAACTGATGTGATTCGATCTCTTTTCACTTCTTCAGAATTCACGACTCCAGCGAACCGTGGGGTGCAAAAAACGTGCCAGCGGTTCAAATGATGCAACCGCTGTTTGAGCGATGTATTAGCGCTCTAAAAGATGTACCAGCCACTCGCCAATGTGGGGAGGTGCTCGCCTATTTCCTGAATTTGTGAAGTATTAGGGTAGAGCGAGAAATATGCTTTCCATCCTACTATATAAATATGTGTGTGAGTGCGTGTGTCCGTGTGTGTTTGACCGGAAATTCATAGCGCGCCCACCAATGGCCGCCAGGAGTTGGTTTCAAGATATGATATAGGGGGTGGGACGGGAACATATTTGGTGGGGGACAGAAAATGATAAAAGCTGATAAGGGGCTGATAAGAAGCGCTGAAACGCTAAAGTCACCAAATTCATTACGGGTGGCCTAGCAGCAATGGAGTGCTGTTTCTCAGATATCATATAGGGGACAGGACGGGAACACTTTGATGGGTGATAAAACGTGATAACAACTGACTTCGCTAGCATTAGCTCAGTCGCTCTACTCTACTCTACTCTGCTTCTACTCAATTTGGTAGCATCCGGCAGAACTTAGGGAATTTTATGTTTGTAAACTTTTTTGTTGAGGCGTGGCAAACAATACGTTGCAAGGAAGTACCCTTGACGGCAGTTTCAGCGACAAAAGACGCATTGAGCAAGCTCGCTTTGGAGAAGTCGCTCGTGGGCCCACTGACCTTACCTCCAGCCCTAGTGCTTGTAAGGCTGCTAAAGTCGTAATGGTGTGCCGGAGGTTTCATGGAGCCCCTAAATCGTCTTGCACTGCAACACAATCAAGCAGTTCATCGGAGCGGAGTAGTGGTTCTTTCTCAAGTGAGTAAAGGATTGTCCATTCCGGAACACTCGAAATCAAAAATGGAACGCTATATTATCAAAGTAAATACGCAGAATATATATATCAGTGATTCTTGGTGATTAAAATTAAAAACTGCTTCTCGCACGCTCCTGTTACCTTAATTTTTGCCCAAGCTTTACATAAGGTGAGATAGGAATTAGCGATGGATGACAGAAAGGAACAACAGCTGATATGGGCTGATAAAATTAATTAGCATGAAAAAGCAGGAGTCACTAAAGTTGTTACCTTAATGTGATAAGAAAAGAATTCCATTTGATTTGCGATGTCAGCGTCAGCATCTAGATGCATTTGACCGCTAATCTGCCGGAGCTTTTTAAGATTGTGTTTGTGGAAATTTGATAAGCAGGATTGTTTCCATTACAATTTCACCGGCGTTAAAAGTTCGGTATCCTATTTTCTCAACATGGTATTTGTTTACGAAGATTTAATGATTACTGGCGAATGTCTACTTTCACTTCATTCTAAAAGCCACCAGACTAGCTAGCACGCTATCGGACCACACCACACGACGGGCTTCAGTGAAACTGCAGCATCTGCGGAGCGCCGATCGCTCAGCTAACGCATTCAGTAGTAAGGTGCTTCGGTGAAATACATATCTGACGTTCCACAGATTCCCACTCACTACAGCCTATGGGGTGATGGGCGCGATGGCCTGCGGAGCGAAACTGCTACTTATCATAATTCTGTAACATTCGCCATTTGTACTGAATTTGCTCGGTATAGCGGTGGAATTTATTTTGTTTTTAAAAGAATCGAATGGAGAATAAGAAGTGCTCATCCGCTGAGCATTTGATACTTATCCGAAGAACGTTTAGTACTATTTGGGAATCT